AAAATAAATTACATTAAGTAATAAAAAGGGCAGTATCTTTTAATAATAAATAAATTACAATTGACCTCTCTTCCGATTAAACGGCGAGGGTAATTCACAGCTATTTAAAATATTTCTGACGAAGACTTTAAACATGACACTCATAAAGTATGACGAACAGATACACAAACATTACAATTAAACAAATAGGCTCATTTTCAGCTTCAGAAGATAGGTTATGTGTCACTTAGGACCAATTCTGAGACGAGTCAAAAGAACTTTCTCCTTACGATTTCCAGTAAAGTCCCTTGCCAGTCTAGGCTTTACATTTTTTTTGTTGTAAGCTGAACGTCTCAAATTTGTGCCATTTTTTCCGGATCTTCCCTTGATGGCAGCGGATGTGTCTAAAAGGGATGGGGCGACTGGACATTCAACAGCAGATTTTACTGCGAATCTGCAAGCTCATTCCCTTTATTCCCGCATGCCCAGGAAACCCAGCAGAACAGGACTTCATATCCTCGAATTGTTAATTTATAGAACCTTGAACCACTACCACAGGATTCTGAGTGTCGGGAAAAGCTCCAACGATTAAGAGCCTATGAATCTGTATAAACTATGAACTTTTTGTGGCAGAGCCTTGAGATGTACAAAAGACCATAATATATTGCAGTTATTTCAGATGTTAGGACAGAGAAAGCATGGTGCAGACATCTGCCCTCTATGTAATCTTCAAATACAAATGCCATCCCGACATGATCATTTGACTTAAATCCATCTGTATATATCGGATAATAACTGCTATATTTGTGGCTGTGCTCAGCGAAGAGTTGTCTGTAAATGATCTCGTTAGTGCTTGCCTTCACATGATGCTTGAACACATCAAGAAGCTGAATTCGTGCTTTTTTCCAAGGTGGGATTTCAAAGTTCTGCATTGCTTGGGGGCGCATATCAGAGAGGGGAAAGTCCCTCAATGACAAGGCGAACTCTTAAAGGAAAGGTAGAAACACAGGATGGACGTGTTTCAAATAAAGTGTTACACACATTATCAAGTAAGCACAGCTTATTAGGATGTTCAGGTTGCGATAGAATATCAAAATATTGCAAAAGGGACACTTGTTCACCCCTCAGATAAAATTGATGGTTTGTAAGAGTCAACATACAGGCTCTGGAAGGCGAAGTCCTGAAAGCTCCTGAACAAATCCGCAGACTTTGATGGTGAACAGGATCTAATTTCAACAATACTGATGAGCGAGCGGATCCGTAAACCACTGAGCCGTAGTCCAGTGTTTCCCCATGTATACGAGCCAGTTTCCCATAGAAAGTCCTCCACTAAAGGCATCTCTACCCTTAGGCAGATAGCCCTCGAGTGCTTTCCCATAATTAAATAAATCAAACCAACGAAGAATTCTTGTTCACGTTTTTTAGCTTCATTCTTGTAGTTGATTGGGTGAAAATTTATAATTTACAACTTTTTCTAAAGGCAGGGGAAAAAAAGTCATTAGCCCTTTTTAGAAAAACAAGGCAGAGCAGCAAGCAGGTAGAAAAATTGAAGCAGTTGTTTTTTTTTTAAGCAGAGGGAAATGCAACAGAAAGCTCTCCTTGAAAGCTTCTTTTCTCTTAGGCAGAGAGTCTCCATGTGCTTTGCCGTAACCCAAGTAATGAAATCCAGCCATTCTATGAGAAAATGTGTCATTAGCCTATCACCAGTCAGTATTTCAGGAAAGGGTAGATATTACTCTACAGGACGTGTGTGTGTGTGATTATGGCAAAGCCTCGAGGGCTATCTGCCTAAGAGGAAGGATGCCTTCGTGGAGGACTTTCTAAGGGAAACTGGCTCGTATACACGTTACACATGGGGAAAAACACGAAAACGCCGATCTCTACAGGACGTTAAGCTATCTGAATATATATATATATAAAAGATCTATCTTCCTAAGGAGTGGAATGCCTTCGTGGAAGACTTTCTAAGGAAAAGTGGCTCATGTTCATGTTACACATGGGGAAAACCACAACAAAGCCCATGCAGTCATCGCATTCCTAAGATCGAGCCCGAGATAAACTCTTAGTATTTAGCTGTTTTAAACACTCTGCCACTGGTGAGACCGTACTCCATACAGGATTTCCTAAAACTGGAAACCAGGTTATCTATGGTGGTGTGGTGTATTCAATTATGGCAAAGCACACTAGAGCTATCTGCCTAAGGGGAGGGATGCCTTCGTGGAGGACTTTCTAAGGGAAACTGGCTCGTATACACGTTACACATGGGGGTTATCTATGGAGCATTCAGGTTTAATTTTACTTTCTTCATATTTTTAATACGTTTGAGTTAGAAAGCTTTTAATTTTCTTACATAATTTTGATTTGATCCACTATGAAAAATTTTATCAGGTTACGTTATTTTAACGCAGGAAAGCACTCAAACGTACTGCTTTAAGAAAAATAACTTTACGGAAGAATTTGTCAGTGAAATTGGCTAGCATATATGCTATGCAAGAGAAATCACGAAACTTCCGTGCAGCCAACTCGTTTATGAGGCGAGGACTAAACCTGATACTTTAAATAATAATATTAAAGGTTCGTATCTGCTCAGCTACTAGTAGGCAAGTTTTTAAGAATATCAATCATAATATAATCATAACATTTTAAAGAAAATGTTAGATGTATTTTACTTTCTTTGTTTTAATAACAGTTAAACTATTTTTTTAAACGACCAGCCGATTAGACATTCGCCGAGGATTATGAAGAATTCATAGTTGATGTAACCGTCTCTGCGGAGAGAATGTTGCTCATTGGCTACATTACATAGAGTGGGGAAGGCTAGGTTAAGTTGGGTTAATTGACTATGGCAAAGCTTATGAGAGATGCATACAAGGAGGACTTACTCAGGAATGTGTGGCTGGCATTCACGTTATACACGGAAAAAACACTGAAACCAACCATGCAGCTGTCCTGTTCTCTTTAGATTAACAGGCGGATCGAATTCCAAATTTTTAGTGGTTTTTAGCTATTTGGCCACTGGTGGAGCTATAAGAGTGGAGAAGATGAATCCACAAACCACCGAGCGTTCCGCTGTAATCGAACCTACGTCCTTAGTTCCAGACTGATAATAAACCACTGCTAAATATCATACCGTCATCTTCAAGTTTCATTTACTTTTGATGGAGATACTTTGATAACTTTCGATGGTATACTGGCCTACAGCAGGAGATATTTTCCCCTGCTCTTACCAGTACCTTAGAGATTCCCATTTAGGGCCTGACCCTTGTGAAATCCGCAGTAAATATATCTTCCAGATGAGGTGAATTTGTCAGGAAAGAAGCACTTTGTCTCTTGAAAGAAGACCGGAGGCTTGGGAGCTAATTAGGTGAGTTCTTTCGACGAATCCTGAGATGTGGGTTTATTTGAAAATTATATACAACGACTACTCAAAATGCACAGAAAATTAGATGGAGATAAAAGTAAATGAAACTTATAATAAACGTATGCGTCATGAAATGGAATTTCAGAAATATATTATATGCAAAATATACTCAATTATATGCAAAATAACGCTACTGGAAAAAGTGGTGTGCGCAAAAAATTCATTTATTCGTATTTCACTAAATTCAGAAAATGTATTATTAAGTGTATAATATTAAATTTATTTTATACTTGTAAAATAAAACAGGAAAATATAAAGAAGAGTCAGAAAGTGACATTCATAATGTATAGTCATTTAGAAATAATAACAATATATAAAATTGGTTTATGTATATATATTTTGCTAGTAATAACAGGACTGAAGAAGTTTCCTTTTTTAACATATTCATCGCAGCGTTCAGAGAAAGTGCATCTGCGTTTTAGCAAAGCTTCCATCCAACAAGGAAAAAAAAAAGTCTTTTCTGCAAGGATGCACTGCAATCATTGCATCACCAGTTTTGTTTCATTGCCAGTACTGATAATATTGCTAGCAAATGCTTCTTAAGAAGTTTATCACAATATCTGCTATGCAGTAGACATAGTAAGTACAATATCTGCTATGCAGTAGATCTAGTGAGTACAATATCTACTATGTAGTAGATATAGTGAGTACAATATCTGCTATGCAGTAGATAATCCCAAATAGCGCCCTTTTGTCTTCGATCGCTGGTTAATCACCAACAATAGCGAAAATCAGATAATTGTTTGCTCCTTGCTGTGGAGGCCCACCAGCGGCCGAGCGGTAAAGGCGCTGAACACTGGTAGTTCGGTCCCAGGTTCGAATACCGCGAACGGGCTGGCTGCATGTGCGTTTTCGTGGTTTTCCCCATGTGTAACGTGTATACGAGCCAGTTTCCCTTAGAAAGTCCTCCACGAAGGCATCCCTCCCTTTAGGCAGATAGCCCTCGTGTGCTTTGCCATAATTGAATAATCCAATCCATCCTTGCTTTTGGTATATGCTTCTTGCTTCCAAGTTGGTGACCGTCTTAGCTATTATTTTCTGACATCATAGAACAAGCAAAGTCATAATGCTACCTTAAACTAAAGAGAACAATGTAACTGTAGTAGAGATAAGCCTAAGGTAAACCAAACCCAAAGTAAATGAAAGACACTTAAATTGTAAGGCAATATTATATAATAAGGTGGGTCAAGATAAACCGAATTACACGCGGGAGACTTGAATTGCTTTATCTTGGTTCGATTTAGGTTCTCTTCTCTTATCGGGGCCGGATCAAGAAATATATGCATATATGCACATAAGTATGTATGTGGGAGCATATATGTGTATGTATACACACATATATACATATACGTACATATGTACATGCATACATGAACACATGAACACGTACATCCACACATACAGGCATGCGTTTCTGAATCCGGTCCCGGTAACAGAAGAGTACCTCGATTTATCTTGTATCTGGGTGAGATTTTGACCTTTTATCTTGATATTAAGTTTACCTTTTGGCTGCCCCTCTTATTTAAAACTAAATTTCTATATGCATGTTAATCGTTCTCTGAATTTTTCAATTTTCACGCATTAGTTTAATACTTTTTAGTTGGACTAGTGTCATGTGCATGTTGGGATCATCATGCTACAGTAGGATGGGAGAAGAGCGGATTCCTAATAATTGCTACAGCGACGCTATTGGGCTGCGGCTTAATATTTCCATATCTTACCGTGGTGATTAAGAACCTAATGCCGGCAGTTCTTCCTTTCATTAGGTGAGTCAAGCCTTCATTTAATCTTTTCTGTTAATGATCTTCATGTTTTATCATGCTTTTAGAACACGAGCTCTCAACCAGAAGGGAAATCGCCTTAGAGGGAATTTTAAAGTTTGAGGACAGTTTCAGCCTTTTATTTAGGTGATGAATATATATATATATATATATATAAAATAAAAAACTAATTTAAGTTTTGGTATTTATCAACATATTGTCTACTTTTTGTTTTCTAATTTAAAAAATAATTTAAATATAAATAAAATGTATTTTTCAGGTTTTAGAAAGAAGTGTTGAAAGGGGTGCACGGGGCAAAATAGATTGAGAACCAGTGTTTTAGAATTCTTTGACCTATAGAATTATTAAATTTCTGATTTTAAGAATTATCAAAAACTACAAGTTTATCAAAAATGAACTATTTTGTTTTAAGGAAATTAAAATAATTTTTTGATTCCGGCTGTATAATAATATCTTAATTTAGTATGTCCAATAAATAAAACAAAACCTAACATAACGGTTTGGCGTAGAGATAAAAGATTATCCATTATTCGTATTTTTTACTTGTATGTTTGGGTTGTTGGAGTAGTCATTTTGGATACTTGGAATTCAAATATAATTCGTTTCTGATATTTTCGGGTTTCAGTTATTAGAAACGGCAAACTGGTACTAAGGAGCTTTCACCCAGACTCATTACTATTATTCTTCCATACTGAATGTCCATCGCTCTACTTAAATATATTTATGTTGTGTAAAATTAATTAAGCTAATGGTTCGCACACAGAGTTATTAACTTGTAACAACTATTTAATATTTAACACAAAATACAAGTCATAAAAAAAATCCAAATAAAAATTATTAAGCCAATCTTAGCAGTTTATACCTGAACACAAACTAAATCGATATTTCGTCGTATAACACTATTGCCAAGATAAGCATACTTGCCCTATGAGCTAAACTTCAGCACTTCACAAAAGAGCTCTAATTCATAACTAAACACCTGATCGGTTTACACTACAGCTAAACTTTACACCGCTTACCATTAACACAGCTACTGTCTACTTTATGTCTTCAACCGATGTAGCAGGAACTAATGCTGAGTGACATGGCGGCGATTTTTAAAATAAGCCACAATTAAAATTAAACTCTTATTTTTAAACTACGCGGAGTAACTTTTAAATAGATTTTTAATGTAAGCAAAAATTGTAACACGACCGAAGAAGGATATGACAGTTATAACTTAAAATCAAACTATTAGTAAAACAACCCCCTAGACGGGAAAGCCGTTAGTGACACTGACTCCCGTACCGAAGCGCTCGGGTTCGAATCCTGGAAAAGGCATCGACCTAATTTGTCCGTCGTTTTATAAAAGGCAATGATGGCCTATCTATTGGGTGACTTCATAATAAAGAGAGCACCGCTTCGACCATAGTATTAGTAAAATTTAAAAACAATTTTCACAGAATAAATTTGCATATGTCTAGAGCTGCTAATTTGGCATATAGAAGCAAAAGAGGGCAATTTTCTTGCACGGCCGAACAATTATTCGGTTGCTGTTTACTTAGTAGCGTAAAATTTCATACAAAGTCTGAAGATGTAATCGTTAAGTTTTTATTGTCAGTAATATATATAGCTATATTTTATACGTTTTTTTATAACTTTCAAATCTTATGAAATGGCAAAAATTAGCCAGAAAGAAGAAAACAGCTCCTGATTAAACGTTAAAAGTCACCCTGCGCTGGGTAAGAACATAGCAGCATAGCTTTCAACATACGTAAATGTCTGCAGAATGCAGAAAAGACAGCGAAATTTTGTTGGGTTCTGTGTAGCTTCCAATTAGTGCAGAGATATGACGTCTCACATGACCCATGTTATTGATATCGCGTGCCAGCCGCCAAATGTCAGTCGACACTGGCGTTTCCTTCGTTGCTTCTAGAGGTATATTTGCTACACTATGTGAAAATTGCTGATTTCACCATAATATCAAAAAATTTACCAGTAACCTCACCAAATAAGGTGAAGATATCTGTAAGCAATGTGTCCTTACAAAAATGTCCTTATTTTTGATGGGCACATAAAAAATGTATGTTTCCATTAAAAGTAAATTTTGTAACGGCCAAGATAACAAGTAAAAGGCCCGTCCACACGAGTACGCTCGCGACGTAGTTGACGCAACTTTTTTGACGCCGGCATAAATTCGCGTGACGTAAAACTGAGTTCGCTCCTGTTCAGCTTTTTCGCCCGCGACGCGCGCGAATAGTCAATAGCTAAGTCTTAACAGTAGGCCAAGATAACAAGAAATTCGCGCATGCTCTCATATAATTTTGCCAATCAACTGTTGTGTTGTGATTCATTTAAAAGAAGCTTCGGCTCGCTAAACACAGTAAGTGCATCTCCCGCTGCTTGCCAGAATAACCAACAAAGTATTAAATATCAAAACACAGTAGACGTTCACTTCTAACACCATAAGTTAATAAATCAGCAATAACGAAAATAATGTGTGATCGCCCCCTCCTCCCCCAAAAAAACACTTTTATATTCTAACCCTTCTCTCCCGCCAGAAAAGAAAGCTTGCCATTCCAGGGAGGAAATACGCCAAAAGAAAAAAAAGGAAAAAGATAAAAGTGGCAGAGCATTAAATAGCATGTTTAAACGATAGAATGATTCGGTAGAATTATGTAGAACGGTTTATAATTATTTCTGAAACTCTAAATAAAACTGTACGCAAAAGATTTGAAAATGTATATTATTGACCTCATGGTTTGTTATTATGTATCATTAGCATAACCGGCAAATACCTGTAGCGCCATATGGCAAAATCTGGACATTTAGTATGCATATTTCTGCCTTGATGTTTAGTTTAGTAATGGAAGTTTTTGCATATCACTCTTAGTTTTGGAACTAATTTTTCTAAATTCTGTCTTTCGCCACTAGCAACTATAAAAACACTTTGTGTTCCTACGCATGCTTACTTTCTTGTAAAACATGTTACTTCGGTGGTGCTATGACATGCGATTCTGAAATTAAAGAAGGTATACAGGCTTTTAATAAGAAACCTGTGTAAATATTGTCAACAAACCAGCTTCCATCATCCCATCTTAACAATCAGGAAAGTTTTCAATTGATTCTAGGTTTTATAAAGGAAAACCACAAGAAAAAAAAAAGAAAAAAAAAAAAAAGAGTAATAGTCGTTTTGATACCTTTATCCTTTTCAAGAAGCAAATTTACTTTTGGTTAATAGCACACGGAAATTCTGGAAAAGGACAGCATTTTCAAACAATCGTATATCTGAATGTAATTATATTCACATCTCAAACCAAATCTGTAGATCTTTTACAGCACTGTGGTATATATTAAGATTATTTCATTCTTGTCTAAACGCACGGCGTCATTTTAAGAGGAATGATATTTTTAAATCCTCTTTCACGCTGCGTTTATACGAATGATGTTCGTATCAAACAATGTCATAAACATATTATTCACATTTAAGCCAAATAAATATAAAATTGCATCATTTTCAATTATTTGATTCTCTTGCATACAGGCAAATGTCCATCAAGACGGCTCTTGACACCAGTTAATATTTCTTAGAAACAGACCGTTTACAAAGAAAAAAAAATCCTAGATTTGAGATAGAAGAAGCTGATTTAAGATAGATAGCTAAAACTTGCAAATTATAGATGCCACTGGTCATCTTTAATATTCAAATATAATATGTAAAACGGCTTTGCACTGAGCCTATTGAAGCCTAACTCGTTCCCTTGTGTTGGTTGTATGAAATATTTGTAAACAAAATTATAAACGCAAGTCGAAACTTTACATGCACATATGTGAAACAAAGTAAAGCTTGCTACACATAAAGAAAGCATTTTTTCAAGCACACTTTCAAGCGAGTTTTGATTATTGACGTAAACGGGATAAAAGACGTCAGATAACCTGTAACGTCGGATAACACGGAACAACTGAAGATGAATTATTGAAACAACCTTTTGAACAAATGCAACATTTTAACAAGAAATTGGATCAGTGTAAGACAAACATAATTACTAGGAAATTAATATATAATTTTATCCTTATGGTGCATAAAATAATAGAATTTTTTATTTAGAAAATTAGAATACGTAGTCCAGAGCGATCGATAGAGACGGTATGGGAGCTGTAGATTGGAAAAGTAATATTAAAGTGAATCATAATGTATTCTGTAATGTTCAACGAGTTTTTGAGCAAAGAAACTGATTACTGTCATGACATGACTGACTCATTTGGAAAAAGTCGGAGAACGCGTAATTACCGAAGACGTATGATTCAAACAATGTAATATTTTGCAAAGCAATATTTTACTGAACAAAAGCAATATTTTATTGCTAACTTCACTGAATATAGGACAAAATGAATATTATATTTAATAAACAAGTAATTTTATATTTCTATGCATCCAGTAATCGAATTATTTGAATAGGTAGTTAAGAAATATAGTCCATTGCGATGTATAGAGTACTGCAAGGATGTTGTAAACTAAAAATACAGGGTGGTTATAATTAAAGTTCCTCTTTGAAATGGTCATAAAAGGAAACCTACTGGACCAGACGTCATCAAACTTGGTAATTGTGTAAAGGAGGTCATGGGAATTTATTTTCCGAGAAAAAAAGAGGTACAAAACCTCACCACCAGAGTAGAAATGGCACTGTATGCAATATTATTAAACAGAATAAGACCTGAAGACATCGGTTTAAAACGTGTTTAATCGTTTCTGAAACATGTTACAAAGCATGTTCAATGTTGCGTCCACCATTTTCCCAAAGCAAGTTAAGTAGTATTACTGCGTTCTCAGCAGCAGCTGTTAGCTTTTCAGGAGAAATGTTACGGACGTGCCGATGCATCGCATCTTTCAGTTCCGTCAAATTGTTTAGATCGTCACCATAAATAATGCTTTTGAGATAACCCGGTAGCCAAAAGTCTCAGGAGTTGAGGTCTGATGACCGGGGTGACCAAGAAATAGGGAGGTGTCCGCCTATAATCCGTTCGTTCGTGAAGTCTTGCCTAAATAACTGTGTGACACATGTACCAATGTGAGGTGGGGCTCCGTCGTGCATAAAAATCATGGCGTCTAAAATGCCACGTTGCTGCAGTTCAGGTTTCATGAAACGTCTTAACATTGATGCTAAGAGAGCTGCAGTCACAGTGCATATAACATGTCCAGCTGTCGACAGCTTTTCAAAGAAAAATAGTACAATTACGAAACTAGCTGTCATACCACACCAAACGATGACTTAGGAGAATGTAATAGAACCAGGTAGATAACATGAACGATTTGTAAGAAAACGATATCCGGAATGCACACACTTTTGCAAGTGATTTACGATCTCATATTTTCTAATCTCTAATTTGTGGTTTTCATGGACGGATTTCTCCGTTACACAGATGGCGCACTCGACTTTTATAGCTGGTAACGCCTTTAAATGGTAGTTTTGTTTAGTTCAATGTTTCTTAAGGGTATACAACATGTTACTTTTAGCATAACTTAACAAAAGATTAAGTTAGATTCAGACCCTTATTTCGTTTAATAATATTGCATATAGCTCTATTCACCCCCTGGGGGTGAGTTTTTGAACTTTTCTTTTTTCGCGGAAAATAAATTCCCATGACCTCTTTTATACGATTGCCAAATTTGATAACATTTGGTCCAGTAGTTTTCCTTTTATGACCATTTCAAAGTGGAACCACCCAGTATAAGGCATTGTGAGAGGTGTTTAAAGAAAGTTATAACATGCATTCTGTAAAATTAATTTGCAGCTTTCCGATAATCTCTTTATTACAGACACTTTACGGACTTTGATTCATTTTTTGTCTGGGTGACGATCAGAGAATCTGCTCAGAGAATTGTCACTTATCTAGAAGTAATACATTAGTTATGCCTTGTATGTATAACGATGATAATAATAGTATTTTAATAATAGAAGTCATTAAAGCAACAATGATAATTTCTAGAATGAGTTCCTATGACATATGGAATAAAAAGGAGTTAATCAAAGGAACTTGATTATGCAATTATGAGCTTTAATTTAAGGTAATTTTACTCCTTTTTAATCTCTAAATTTTATTTAAACTTTTCAACAGCAGATTTCTTTCATGCAAAGTATAAGCAATGTTTCTTTATATCCGTTTTAGTTACTGTTTTTTTTTAATATTTCCATAGATAAGAGGATTAATTTAACTAAGAGTTGAAATCAACTTTAAAATCCAACGAATAATTCTCTGGGGGTACGAGCGTTTCAAAAGCAGAGACAGGTAGAATGATAAAGAAATCATGTAAAAAATGCATTTTGTGCATTTCACTTATATACTTTTGATTTTAAAATGTTTTACTTTTTTCAGCCAAGCAGCGGGTTTACCGCCTTCCCTTGGAGTATTCGCTGTGTTCATGATTTTAGCATCTGTGTGTGGTAAGTCATTTTAAAAACTTTATTAAGTACTTTAAAAATGTATATGTCATTTAGTATTACCTTTTTAGAAGTAAGTCGTAGCGCAGTATAACTGAAACTGTGATAATGAAATTCTTAATACAAGATTATTTTTTTTTACTTCTTTGTAAATGACATGATGTATAAATGATTTAAGTTGCTTTCTGTATCTAAGAATTATTACCGTTAAAATGTTTTACTAAATACATATAATATAAAAATTATAATATAATATACTATAATATAATAAATATATAATATAATATAATATAAAAATAATATATATAAAATGTTTATAATATATAATATAAAAACCTGTAACTATTAATTAACATAAGAGGTAATAAATAAATTACAGTTACTGCTTTATGGTGTGTTTTTAATATCTTACTATGAACGCTGCCACACTCTGTATTTTACAACCAGGCACACAGTGAAACTGTCTGGTTAACATCTCACTAAAGCTTATGGTATGTTTTGACAATTAGTGACGACATTTACCCAAAATTAAACTTTAATAAAAAAAATAGCTTTAAACTATTCAGAAAATAAATATAAATCAAAAGTATACGTCGTTCTTTCGAATTAAGTGTCATAAAAAATTAAACTCAAATTTACATTTCTTCCAGCCTCAGGCCCACCATTTACAGAACCAGTAATTAGCGGAAAGAACCGCTAATTACTGGCAGTTCATACTTCGGCGAATGCGTTGGCTGGAAGGGAGTTTTCATGGTTATTCCCGTGTTTAACGCGAATACAGGCCATTTCCCGTTGAAACGTCGTATATGAAAGCATTCCTCACCTCTGGCTGATAGCCCTCGTGTGCTTTTCATTAATTCAAATAAATCAATTTAAACTGAGTTTTTTTTTTTAAATGGGACCTTACACTTTGGTAGAATTAAGGGAAATCACGAATTAGCTGTATTTTTATACCCCCCCTTTTTTTAAGACATTCTGTAACAATTTCCTTTACACTCTGTATGAAAAAATCTTAAATCAAATTATTATTTTTAAGTGAATAATGACTTAAACCTAGTACTCATAAATTTGATTTACATTGTTAAAATTCTAAATAAGATGTGTATTTTCATACGTTCATATAATTTCTCTCATTACGCTACGCACAATGAGCTTTATACATTTCTGTTTCCCTCTTTTCAGATAATTTCAATTTAATTTTTTTCAGGTATGGTTACCTTCTCTCTGTTTTATGAATACATAAATCACAGAAATGTAAAGAATTCCAGATTTATTAGAATTCTTAATAAAGTCGGTTTGTTTGTGACTACCATTTGTTGCCTGGGTCTGATAGTTACTGTATGCAATCCAGTGGGATACACTGATGTTCCTAATAAATTCCAATGGGTAAGTAATAAAACTTAGTTTTTTGTTTGTTTGTTTGTTTTGTTTTAGTTGATGTTGCCTTTAAATTCTTAGTTTGAACTAGAAGTGGATTCAACAAAGTGAATGCTGATTAATAAGTTTATGCCACATTTACAATTACCCAAAAAAGAATCTTAGACAGGACTCGATTTTAAATAAAACTCTATCCATTTCGAGAGCATGCAGACATAAGTTCCTCTTCGTCAGCAGCAGAATTTGGTATTTACATATTATCCCGCCGACCGTAAAAGTGGGCTACCATCTAACCATGAAAGTTGGCAGAGAAGCCGGCAAAATTGTGCCAATCATTCTTGCCGAATCCTGAGCCGCACTTCTATCTGCAACTCCTATAACAAAGTATTCCATCTGCTTCGTTTTTGCGCTTTATAAAACGGCTTTAAATTGATTTCTACTATTTTATTAAACTCTTCGATTTTACCGAAAACTTTGTTTAGAACACCATGAGTCTAAACTTCCCCCAGATTGATTGTTCCAATCTAGTACTGTTTCCCCGGCAATATCCAGCTATCCTTTTCCCTGTATAACAGATGTTCATTTTCTAGACCAAGCTGTAAATGAACAACCCCAGATGTGATACTGTACCCTTCAAAATCTTTTTTTTTTTTTTTTTTTTTTTTTTTTATTCAAAATGCAAGTTGCAAATATAGAAATAGCAGTTAATTTACATTTTTGTTCACAAAAGCAAAAAGTGAATTATCGAGAATTATTCGGATAATAGATAATTGCCCAAATTTTTTTTCATATTTTTTGCTCTTGAGGAAAAGGAATTTATATCCCAACGCCTTCGGGAGACTTTTATTCAAAATCTGTATGGAATTAATATTTTTTGGTCTAATTTTAAACTTTATATTGGTACGTTTCTCTTTCAATTTGATTAGCACAGCGGGCATTAGGTACAAATTTCTCTTTTTCGCTTTCCCTAAAGTAAAACTTTAGATAGGATTTCGCTATACTGTTCTTTGTTAGTACAGTCAAATCCCGATTAACCGACCTAAAAAATGTTAAGTGTTGTGTGTTTATTGAGGAACACTGGAATTCTATTCCAGAGTTCCTTCAGCCCTAGGTTACCGTCCTAACCTATCAGTCAAAAGCTGTCTACGGAAAATACAGAAAAGATGTGTGTGGGATAGGACATGATCTCATAGTCATTTGTAATTTAATTTCTTCATTTTTTAATGTTGCTTATTCTTTCGTTATATAAAGTGAGGTTCTTTTACTTTGAATCCTGATTTAATTAAAAAATAATATGAATTTAAGTACTTTCTGATTATCCGCACTCTTAAGATAAGTCATCAACTCATTGGCGAATTTTTTTAAACATTCTTCTTTTTCCATATAAGACGTGCATGTTGGTACTAGACGCAGTGAATATACTTGAATTCACACATTTTTATATTTAACCATCATTTCGTTGATAACTGTATGTTTTGCTTCGGCTGATTCGAAGAAATTGTTGGATTTCTTATAGATGTGATACATTTTGTCCAACAACAGCATCCTGTGAAGGTTTACTTCCTAAAGGAAAGAAATTGCGCGAGAATGCAGTGTTGAAAACTGCAAGCAAAGTCTTAAAATGCAGGTTTCAAGACCACCATATCGTCTTTAAAACAGCTAGTTATTCGCTTTATTTATTTATTTATTTATTTTTTGAAAAGACTGTGAAACGTCAGTGAAATTCTGTGCAGAAGAATTGGGATTATCACCCCACACAACTATTGCTGCTGGAATTATCTGAGGTAATTGTTCAACAATAAATGTTATTATTGTTGTGACTTATCTCACTTTTCTGACAGTAACATCAGAACAAGCCCACGAAATTCATCGTGACAAGGAGTGCAAGATTGCGCCTGTCGTTGGCAAGAGCTTTGAGCATCATACAGTTGACAGTTCGACTTTGCTCAGTTCCGCCCCAAAATTTTGAAGAAGGAGCGCCCCGGGGATCGGGTCCGATGATCTCCCACCCCTCTTTCCCTACCACTAGCCTCTCGAGAGGACTTTCGACTCGCCGCATACTTAGAGTTGCCTCATGCCGCACGGACACTACACGTTTACAAACAAACATGCCTTCTCCGGGATTCGAACACTGGCCCTTCGGTACTGCAAGTAGGCTCCCTTAACCACTATACCGTCTAGGTCCTCCCCCAACAATAATTAAAGCATATAACTATCTTTTCGTTGTAAAGAAGATACGGTGATCTTGAAATTATTTACCAACCCGCATTCGAAGACTTTGCTTTCTGTTTCGAACACTTCATTTCCTGAAAATTTCCTTTCTTTAGGAAGTACAACTTCACAGAACGCTGTTGTTGTCCTCGCATCTCTAAAGAATCCAACGCATTCCTCGCATCAGCTGAAGAAAAAAATACAATATTCAGCAAAATGATGATTAAATACAAACCGAGTAAATTCAGGTGTGTTCACTGCGTCTAGAACGCTCATGTGTTTGTTTACTACTGTTGCATGTATATTTAAAAATACGTCCAAAACATGGCAATTCTACTAAATTTTGTAATTGGTGGGGTGGAACATCAGAAAACACCTCAATTTTATCTGACTAAACAGCTTAAAAATACGAATAAATTGAAATCAGTATTTTCCTATTAATTACAATATATGTTATTGCCCTTTCTTGTGTAAATTTCAAATACCGCTGGATTAACTGTGATTTGGGAATAAACGTGGAAATCGTCCCCAGTATTATGGTGGGTAATATGATCTGACTGCACTTGAGTGTAAAATTCAGGAAGGAGGGAAACTTGTTTCCTTGATATATTCGAAAGAAGTTAAGTAAAAGTTTTGGATAAAAAATTTAAAGTAATAGACACTGTATCTTACAGCTTTGTTGACATCCAGAAATTTACAATCCAGAATTTAAGTAAAAGAAAACTTTATAATTGCTACGGTTGATCTACTGATTTCCAATTTATTTCGGAGAGAAAATTTGTTTATAAAGCACTCAGTGATGAATTCCTTTTAAACAAAAGCATTGCAAGTGCGAACATAATCAATAAGCAATAAAAATAGTTTTGAAAATTAACTATAGGATTAAAAAAGACCAATCTAACTCCTTCGATATAAAGGAAATTGTCGAATTTTTCGTAATTTTCCATTTTAGAGACTAAATTCTGACCCTTAATTATACGAAAATTCTTTCTGCAGAAAGTTAGCTACGCCAACATTACGTCTTTGCCCCCCCCCCGCTAATTTTAAAGCGCTGTTTTTAATATATTAAAACACTGCTCTTATTTCAAAGTAAGTATATTGGTAGTAAAAAGTTTTGAAAATCTTCCTTATCTATTTCGTTCTTTGCTTATTGAAAATAACTAAGAGATGTAGTTATTATGTTTACAAAATACCTTGCCCCAATTGAAATAAATTGATGCCTCGAGTGCATTTTCTAATTAGAACTATAAAACTGGCACATGTATCATTCTAGAGAAAAGTGCTTGGCTATAAAGGAAATTGTCCAATTTTTCGTAAAATAAATTGTCTGTAAAAGAATTATTTTAAAATTGAAAAATCTCTTTTTTTCATGTGAATTGTAAATTCTAAACAAGTAACGAATCCTTTGTCTCAATGCCTGTAATGAAACTAAGGCATGAGACACTACTGGTGGGCTCTAAATAGCCCACCAACGATGTTCAAATCTCGGAGAACGAGTTGGCTAAATGAACGTTTTCATAGCTTTGCTCATGTATGATGTGAATAAAAAAGTTTTCCAAGCAAATTCTCCAAGAAGCCGTTTCTTCTGTTAGGCAGATAGTGCAATGCCGTAATCCAGTCCAGCCCTTATTCTTTATACTCTTTATCCGTTAAATGGCTCTAAATCAGTCAAAGCATATAAAATATCGGTAGATACTACGCAACTTCAAATTTTTAAAAATGTTAAAGTTTTCAATAGTAAATATACTATCCAAATAGTGTTGTAAATGCATAACCTTCATCTATGAGAACGACAGCGATGAAAATTAACATGCGCATTCTCACATATGAGCTGCGGCTTCTCATCAAGTTCATTTCTTACGGTTACAGCAGAATTTTACTTTGAAAAATATTTCAGATTCGAGTTTCATCGCCAAGTGATATTTTGATGAAGCCTGGGGTATAATCTAGCAACGTGTTATATTTATTACACTTTTGTGCATTTTAGGATGCCGAATTCAATTCAAAGATCAAATTTAGTATTAGGAAAAAATATTAACTCAATTATCTGCAAATCTCTTATAGATGGCCATCGCTGAATGCTGGGCGTTCGAGCCGGATCCTGTCTCAGGTGAACGCACAACGTGAAAACGGGTCAATTTCCCTTAGACAGTCCTCCACGAAGTCTTCACTTCTTTGGGCAGGTAGCCTTTATCATGACATATTCAAACGACTTAACTTAATCGCATAGAGGACCGAATCAATAGTCTATCGAATTTTCTAATTAATCCATCCAATTAGCTTTCGATCTTCCTCAGGAATTGGTAAATTTAATGTTTGTTATCCTAAGATTTAATTCTGTTTAATTTTATTTTTATACATTTATTTCCAATGAAATTAAAAATTGATTCCATACAGATGCGAAACTATGTTACTGCTTAACAGAATTTCTCTGTAAGATTTAGTAATTTCAGAATACATTACATAAATTATCCATAAAGAATAACATATGGCTTTCTCACATTTTATAGCAAATGAGAGTAAAACGCAATTTTTGTTTCCACGTAGATCTGAAGCACGGAGAGTTAAAAAGGTGAAAATACGTTGCTAGATTACATTTAAACATTTAAAAAAGAAATATATATGTATTATTTTTTCGTCTGATGCAAATTAAAATACACCATTTTACAGGTGGTAACAGTACTTTATGAGCATGGTACAGGAGCTAGCATGATTCTTATAGGAGGAGCTCTGTTTCAGTATGTTTGGGCCGCTCTTTGGTTCTGCCTCCCATATACTACGAAAACAGAAAAAAGCATCAAGTTATTCTTTATTGTCATATACTTCATATTTTTCATCATCAGTATCCTTTTAAAATATTTCTCTTTTAAGTCTTGTCACAAAAAATATAGAATAAAAGCATATTACTCATAATAATTATACTTTCAGATTATTCGTACTGCTAGTATATTTTTGTAATTTGGTTTAGTTGTGCATTTAAGGAATGCTCTAGATTTAATGAATTCCACAAAAAATTCATAAACAATTCGCAACCTGCAGTTTATTTAAAAATATATTAAACTTTTCAACATGTTTTGAGTAATATGCAGAGTAATTAAACAATTATTCTGTGTATTATTTAAAATTCTCTGTGAGTATAAAAAACATTCTGTGAATTAAAAAGCTCTCATGAAACCATAATTTTGCTAAAATAATCCTAGTAAAATGCATGCAATTCAATTCCTATAATACAGTTTTTGATAATTTATCGTAATGAGGCTTTCGTAATTCAAATCATTCTAAGATGTTAAATTTCATTGAAGGCAAAATTCTTTCAGAATTTGAAATTTAGTTCTTGGAAAGAAAGAAATTATATTGTAAAGAATTATTGCAACCCCCTTCATATGTACTCTCGTGGTTAGCACGCGCAGCTGGCATTTGAAAGATTCGTGTTTCTAATCCTGGTTAAGGCGCTATTGATCTTTTAAGTTCCCCGTGCTGAAAACTTAATATTCTCTACTCCGACGGAAATTCAAATGTCGAGAATGACAAATCGTCACCAACTGGATTTGGTTGACTGTGTCTCAAGCCTCTCCCCAGTTGCTCTTTAAGTGTGAGAGAATTTAAGGAGTTACTGCATCATGTTGTAAGTTTTGGGCACGTCCAGCTAGCAAATGGAAGTCTGTACTTACCTGTTAACACAACCATCTTAGTAGACATTGTCAAATTTTTAGAATGTTCCAAACCCTGGCAACTTAAAACAACCTCTGTGATATTTTTGCTTTAAACTCAGTTTTAAAGTATGTGGTTGTGAAATTTGCCAGCAATGGAAGAAACTAGGATAATATTTCTGCAGGAGTATAATATTTTGCCCTAAAATTGTTAAAGGAAATAGGGATGAGAATGGTTTGGAAGACAGCTGATGCGCAGTGCAAATTGCTTAAGTGAAAATAGATCGATATGTACGAAAACAACGCAAAAATAGCTACATAAAGTTTTCTTGGAAAATTTGTTTTATTTCTTATCATATCATATAATCCTTTCTTAATGATTAAAATTTGTGTTCTAAATTGCTAAAGTGTATTCTACGATAAATACTGATAGTTCAGCAATCTTTTTAAAGAAATTCATGAAAATCACCAACTTGTACCTGATAAGTAATTTTAATCATTTGTAAAAAATCTCCAAATTGCGCCAATGTGCTTGCGTTAATACATAAACAGAGGAAGATCTGTAGTTCGAATCCCAGCGAAGGCATAGATGATTTTTCATGTTTCCATCTCCAGAAACGTAATAGTCTAAAATCTGTCAGCTATAGTATCAATGATATGTTCATTGTCCAATGTGCTTGCGTTAATACATAAACAGAGGAAGATCTGTGGTTCGAATCCCAGCGAAGGCATAGATGATTTTTTCATGTTTCCATCTCCAGAAACGTAATAGTCTAAAAACTGTCAGCTATAGTATCAATGATATGTTCATTTTCAGCATATATTCCTCTTTTTATTCAAAACTAATTCAGAATGCATTGAATAAATTATCCACAGAGATTACCAGGTGGGTTTCTCACATGTTTCAGCAAACGAGAATGCACCATTATCTTTCTTTACAGTTTTGAAGCCTGAAGTGTTTATCAATTGCTGGGAAATTAGCAATTATTTTTATTCGATAAAAACAATTAATTGCTTAAACACTTTTAATGTTCTCCTTCTATTACGTTATGAATTAACCTCATATGTATAAAGTTTTACAAAGATTATAAACTTTCTCACAAAATTCTATGCATGATCACCCGTATAACCCATATATCTCTTAATTTTAAAAATATATAAATAAACTGTTGGAGTACTCCTCAAAATCACTTTTTATCCACCTTTTGTTCTTGGGTGATATTTCGTGATTTTCTTTCCTGCATAACTGAAACATGAATCCGATTTTAAATAGAAATTTATTTACAAAATATAAGTACTTTAAAATCAAATAGTATCCTATTGTGCGTTTTGCCTGCAATTTAAATTATACACTCTGTGGTAAAAATATGGTAAATAACAGGTAGCTTTAAAAGTTAAATCTCTGGAAATGGACTGTATCCTTTTTAAATTTTAATATCATACTTTTTGCTCAATGTATTGACTGCAGAACATCGTTTAAACCGAATATATTTTTCTATTTAATTAGCTGTTTGTTATGTTATTATTAAAATAAAATTCGAGCTCATTACCACCTAAAAATTACAGTTACTCTTGCCTTAATTATACTATATCAAGGTGCATATGGTCAGATCATTAAAACAAATCTTTTCCTAGATTATAATTACTATTTTAAGTTTTTTAAATATAAATGGAAGATGCAGAACAGTGTTTTTATTTCACAATTTTAACTGCCTGTGAAGTTTATTTTTACTTCTGTACTTACTTAAAGGTATTTTCTTGACAAAAACAGCTTTATATCCTATGATATCATTCATCCTTGAAGAACTTGGTCCAAATCCATTTGATTTTGAGTCTATGAAAGCTATAGCATATGTTATGCCTATTAAGGTAAGTTTTTCAAACGAATATTTTACTGCTAATATTTGCTTGCTATGTACAACTTGCAGCAGTATCCTAAACGATATTTCTCTTTTAAATGATTAGAAAGCAAATTTTCTAGTATTTAATTGTTGTAATTTCTATTAAGTAAACTGGTGTAATCAATGAATGTTTTCTTACAAGAGTTTACTTTTTCTATCTGAGTTTTTCGTAATTGAACTTGTAGTATATGCCAAAGAAATAGGACAAATAAAACTACTACCTTGTATAAACTACACTTGCTTAAACTACACTCTACCTTGTTTAAACTACACTTAAGCAAACTACTTGAGTATGCTTAAAGCAAGCTATTTGAGTATCCTGATTTAGTTTTACATATTGTTATGAAGAGTGTTGACGAAATAGACGTAAGCATTACTTATGAACTGCTTACTAGAATTATACTCCACAAAACATATTTTGTTCCCTCCACTATCCTTAAAAATCAATTTTAAGTCGACAAATCTATCAGGTCACATTATACATTATCGTCCTTCATACGCATGCTTTTATTATGTAATGTCTCTCACCCACTCTAATAACAATAGATGCTAATTCTTTCTAGCTTTGTCCAGTGGAGTAAAAGATTTGAATTCGGCATTAACTACCATACAACTTTAATAATATCTTAACATAATTCAGTTTCCCTTAAATTAAGGATTACTTGTAAATAAAATAAACACATAAACATGATTTCAAACGTTTAATCATATGAATCAAAATTTTTATAAAGTGTTTTCCATTCTGATGACTTATTTTTCATAACAGTTTCCTACCATTTGGTTTTTACGTAACTTCTCTTTTATTTAAAGAGTTTTAAGAAAGAAACATAAATAATTAAAAAAACATTCTCTTCATCATCGTCCAACTCTACCAACATTGCTGTTTTTGGTACTTACCTTCTGCAAATGAAGGCAATAATAATCTAATAAATCTAAAGTTTCTTCTGGCCAATATCAAAATATTGTTTCAGGTAGCATTCCTTTACACTTTACAGGAAGGACTGGGTCAGGAAAAAAAGTCTCAAATACCTTCCTCACATTATTCTTACCCAGAATTATATTCGTGGCAGTTCTTATCCTTGTTGATATCCAGACGCACGAAAAAATAAAGGATTGAATTTAGGCAATTAATAAAACTTATAATACCAATATTACAATTTCAAATACTATTTAGCTGTTCTTGAGCATGTTCTTTGAAGTTATTCATATTAATTAAGTGACCATTTGATACTACTATAATTATGTGTTTATTCTAATCAAACTGTTACATGTTTCTATGATTCCTTATCTTTTTCATGTTATTTATGTATTCATTTACTGCCCGGTGGCGCAGTGGCTAGCGCATTGCGCAGCAGCACCACAGGTCCGGGGGTTCGATTCCCGGGCTGGGCAAGGTCGGCTCAGCCTTTCATCCTTTTTCCATCTCTTGGGGCGATAAAATGAGTACCCAGTTCGCTTGAGGACTAAACACTGGGGGTCCTTGCGACAAGCTAACCACTTGTTCAGGGCGTATGCTTCCGGGGCCCACGGTCAAGAAAGCAGATTTCGGGCACTGCAGGCCTTGGCCCATTAGGACTGTTACGCCACTGAGTTTAGTTTTTTTTTTATATATTCATTTATTTATTCTCGTTTTAGTTATTTATTCATTGTATTGATTGTGTTTCGATCATCTCTTTAGACTCGAATATTCACATAAAATGAGAATAATGTGCGATTTTCGAACTTTAATTCTATTTTCGAACCAATAAACAATTATGAATCTGTTTTCGTTTAAAAATTAATTAATTCCGATTATTTCCTGATTGAACAGCCTTAAATTTTAAGTTTATTGCCATGCTATATACTCGTATATAAATACACATAATAATATAAATGTAAAGAATATTTTCCTAAAAATTCAGCAAACTTTAATATACGTAAGCTGTGTTTTTCCAACTATAAGCCCCCTTTTTCAGTTGCTAAATTTTTGTTCTACATTTTGCTATGGTTTTATAATCGATATTTTAAGAAATGAAATTCTAGTCTGGGCGAAAACAGTTAATTCATTGTACTCTCTACAGTAACGACACTGTTTAAATCCTAAATAAATCACGCGGGTAATTACCATTTATATAAATTGTATAACTACCGCTAATTATGATAGCCTCATCTAGTAGATTTATTGATATTATTGAAAATGAATAGGTAATAATGCATTATTAATTTTTACGAATTTTTCTTTCTGTACCATATTAAAATATAATATTTAATAAGACAGCTTGCCTTTCATTCTAATCAGAAACGTGCTCTACCTGCAATTTTATTTCTTAAAATTTATCTTAAAATCTAAAGCGCGTCTTATAGTCTAAGGAGGTCATTTTTTTCGAATAAATACGGTATTTTTAAACCCACAAACGTTTCATAAACATGATATGACTTCATAGGAAGAAAAGAGTTCTTTACACCTATAAAGTTAGACTCAATTCAACTTAAACTAAACATTAGTCTAAACTTCAAGACTTCTCTACGAATTTTCGTCCCGCCCTTTCCTCAGCTCTAAGTAAATAGAACGTGAAATAACTGAAGGATTTATTTCAACATCGACTTAAAGTTACAGAACTAAAACAATTCACAAAATTAACTTTCGCTACTTGCGGCCTTTCGCCCAGGCTACAATGATTCAACGTATTTGCAAGTTTAAATTTAAAGTTAAATAATATGGCTTCGCATTACAAGACTTAAGTTTTCAATTAGAAACATCCTCAGTGGTTTGTAGCAACAGCGTTAAGGCAGGCAGTAACTGAGGAGTTTCATATTGCAAGTTGATGTTCGCGGCTCTGTCTCCTAAACTTAAGAGTTTCGCTTACATTTAAAACTGTCTTCTTTTAGATATTCTGATGGAGTAGACGAAATAGTAGAACTTCAGGAAAGATTTAACATAAGTAAAAAAGTATTGATTAAAATTAATATTTTACAAACCGAAGTATAAAATAGTCGCTCAAAACTGAAAATTGTCCCTTTCCTGGAACTTACAGAGATTATTTTCAAACAACTAAAAATACACAGTCGGACTTGGAACCCAAACGAACGTTTAGATATTTCTGTGAATATCCATATAGCTGCTTTGTAACTGTAACATTTAAAAGCTATTAAAGTGATGCTTATGTAAAACCATAATATGTAGCTAAACACAGCAGTCCCATAATAAAGAGAATGGGAATAAATGGAATGTAAAATTAATAAAAGGCTTTGTAAACGAACTTTAAAAATTTCCTCAGATGTTTTAGCTATGAGCTACTATTGTCATTTAAGCCCTGAAGGACGAAAATGCGTTGTTGGATCCAAAACATCCATTATCTTAAGATAAATAACACGCCGAACAAGTATTAATTTAGAAGTTAAACAACAAAAATCAGCGTTATATTTTCAAATTTTCACACGACTAGTTTTGGATGGTTTTACCGAACCATCATCTCAGCTGCAAAAGCACAAATGAACGAGATAAGATATAGTGATTAGATAACATGGACAGGAGTCACGCTACTGGCGCTATCTGTTGATGAAACCGGAATTGAAACATAATTTCTTTGAAGGCTGACTGTAAAGATGGATTGGAATTAGGGTCGTTAACTGGAACAGAAATATTTTTTTGAATGTAAAAGCCTCTAAAAAATCCAGTTCACCAATGGAAGATGTTTCTTGAATAATTTTGGCATCAAAAAATTGAAAGTGGGATTTTCGGGCCAACAATGCTTGGTAACAACGCTGATGGAACGAGACGGCTTCCGTCCTAATGCGGCCTAATATACGTCCATCGAAATTAGTGCCGCCCCACCCTTGATCAATCCACAATGTTGCGACCCCACAGAGCAAGGACAGACAAAGGCAGTACCAGTACGGTCCCTGCCGAGCCTTACTCTGTCCCGAGAGCCCTCAGGCCTTCTGTGAAGTCTGTTATTATGCCCCCGTGGTTGAGACTGCCTAGGTACAGATCCTAACCAGTACTTCCCAGGTGTTCGCCTGAATCAACCCCCGGGGAGGGGGGGGGAAGCTGGGTAACAGAAGACTTCTGTGTTTCCTTTTTTTCTAACATATGCCTCATGTTCCTTAAAAGCAAAATTTCAGTTTTCACATTCAAAAAAATCTTTCTGTTCTAGTTAACGACCCTAATTCCAATCCATTTTTTTAAAGAAATTATGTTTTATTTCTGGTTTCATCAACAGATGGCGCCAGTAGCTTGAGTCCTGCCCATGTTATCTTATCTTATCTAATCACTATATCTTATCTCGTTCATTTGCGCTTTTGCAGCTGAGGATGATGGTTCGGTAGAACCATCCAAACTAGTCCTGTGAAAATTTGAAAATATAACGCTGATTTTTCTTGTTTGACTTTTAAATTAATCCATTATCTTATTCTTCAAACTTTAAATTAAGCAAGTAGCATTACTGTATTTTAGCATTTTGTATTCTATTTCATCAATGTACTACTAGGTTTTAAAGCATTTTTCATATTTTAACATCATTTAAATGATTTATTTTAATTGATTTTAGCTTTTCCGCCATATCTTTCTTAGAGCTGATAAAATGTTTTTAAAAAATATAAGTTTCTTATCTGTAATCTGTCTCCTTAATATTTTTGCGCTCTATGTTTCATTAATACAATTATAGATTTCATGTTTTCAGAACCTGCTTTTTTTTGTGTTCAAGGGAATAATCAGAAATTTCTTTCTTTTATTTCAGTATAGTACAGCTTACATGATCTGTGCATTCTGCGAGTGGGCTCTCTGCATTTTAAGCATTGTACATATTTTGACTCATTTCAAAGATTTACAAAGAGTGTCATTTCGAATAGTACTGCGACATAAATCGTGTCTTGAAGAAAAAGAAGATCCAGTACCTAGTATTTCTTTGAAAGTTCTTTCATGACACGTACTCTGTTTTCCTCTACAAAGGCTGTTTGAAATCATTTGAAGTATTCAAATAGTTCTGAATTTCATGCATATTCTGATCAATTGAGAAGAGAGATCAAATTAAGGAGAAATTGTTTTCTTATTTTACTTTATTTCAATTCCAGAATGTGCAATGAAATGCAGCACTTAATCCCAATGCTATTTGCATGTAATTCTAGTTTATTTAGGATTTAATAATGCAATTATTTTCTATGCATTTCGGGATAGCAGACGTTTCCTGCGTTTTGTTTAAACCATTGACATTGCAGCATAATCTAAGATCGTGTGCAGATAATCATATTAATACTCATAATAGTATTCTCAATACCCAGCCTTTCATTAATCAGAGAGCCGTGATCCAGTAAAATGATGAAAATTACTAGTGAAAACTGTTTTCCTCAGCATATTTTGGTTAACTTATTTTATTATCTTCTTAATTTAATTTATGTTATAAATAAAGTTTTATTGTTGAATATGAGTAGTACATCAGCTTTATTGCTTTGCATTTTCAAAGACATCTTTTTTTTTTTTTTCAAAGACAAAGGAAAAATTCACATTTCTAATTTCAGAACAGGAAATGGTAAATAAAATCAGAATAGAAATAAATATTTAACTATATAAAACCTTCATTGCTGCTCAGCTTTGACTTCTTGCAAACAAAGTCTAATTGGGTGTACTCCAACTGCGCTAATGAAAATCCCCCCCCCCTGGTCGAGCTATAGTCCAACTGCGCCAATCAAAATTTTTTTTCCCTGCTGCCTACAGGGTTACAATTTAACTTTTCGAAGCCAACTGTAGCCAAGAGGAAAATAAAAATAAATAAATAGAACTACATATCACAAGAACAAGTAAAAAATATCTAACAAGCAGGCTAATTACTTGAATAACAGTAATAACTGCGAGAGCTAACAAAGAAAATAAAAGGTATTGGTAAACATACACATTAGCATTACAAACATCTTTCATTTATTATAATAATATCATAAATTAAATAATTATAAAACATACAAATTATATTTTTAATAAATTACATCAATAATAGTCAAGATGTCTGAACTAGACTGGAAAATTTAATAGAGTTCACTAGCGTGCAAAAAATTATTCCATATCAAAGTGTGTTAAAGTGTGCTAAAAATATTTTTTGTTAATTAAAGTAATCATGTAAATGTTTGCAGAAATTAAATTTAGTTAAATTTAAAAAAAGCTTAGCATGAAATCTATTGTAACAACATTACTATCCATTGGAACCCTGACGTATAAATTGTAAATAAATTAAAATTATTATGCTAAGAAGTTTTTTCTAAATTTTATCTAGAAGAAAGGAATTAGATAAACAATACTGCAAATTAATATAATCAATCAGGCCTCTCAATAAATAAAAGTTTATTTTTTTAACCAAAAATTAAAAATTGGGATGCAAAACGTTTGAGTAATATACTTGGAAATATCTGAACATATAATTAATTAGAAATGTATGATTAAATTAATAACAAGCTAATTAACAGTAACATTAAGCTTAATTTCATTCAATCTAAAACAAGCAATCGATCAGGAGCTCCGCATAACTGAAGTTTTAACGCTATTTTACGCAGATTTGCGTATAAAATAAAAGTTGCACTTGTGAAACCAGTGAATAATGTACTGATAGTAATCTCTAATGCCTATACATATAATTACTTACATATAATTACTTGTCAGAAGGTATGCAAAGTTGCTATGGCTAGAGAAATTGAATGATTATAGAAAACTCATAAAGTTAAGCGCTACAGTGTGAAAAGAAAATTCTGGAATAAACATGTTAAAAAAATTAGATGGAGAAATAATCCTTAATTTATTGATATCCATACAAACTCTATGCTTTTGGGAAAATATTACATATAATTTGCACCGAGGTATCAATCACTGAAACCGAGTTAATTTCTTTCCTTATTTTTTCTTATTAGAGAAATTCGTAAAAAGATATGCTAAGGTAAAGGTGAAAAGTTTTGCGATATTTTTAAAGAATAAATTAAAAAAGTATTTTTACTTCATTAACTGAAATTTTTACGCTACATTTTTACACAGTAAATAAGTACAAAAAAAGAAAGAGCTGGGGGATCACTGGGACTAGAAACTCGGGTCGAACTACCAATGTTTAGTGACTTTTCCGCTTAATCATAAGACCTTTTGAAATTAGGCTGAACAATATATTAAAGAAAATAGAAGATACAGCACACGTAAGAACTAAAATAGGCATTAGAGATTTACATGTTTGGTGAATGAGTTAAACTTATTTGTATGTCATTATGAAATATTAGGAACGCAGCATAAAAGCATCAGTGAAGAAGGCAATGGCAATCTAAATCATTGTAATCTAAATGTATAACATTATCAGTATCTGCTATTAATTTCAGTACTGCAGAAAAAATTATAAATGAATTATATTATAAAATCACATGAACTCGTTGCATTATAAATTACAACAGTTAGAAATATTATTAGCGTGATTTAGCAACCATCTTTGTTAAAAACAATTTCAAGTAATTAATTTTACAAATAATTCAGCCTGAAACTAGGTTAGAAACTAAGCTACATGCTGAAGATTAAGCTTTGCCAAGGTGTTAACATCTTCTGTTAACTAGAGTTGTGATGCAAGAATTTGTAAAAATTATCATTTAAATATAAATTGGCATAAATACAATATAAAGTATATAAATTCTACATACATGAAAACTGGAGTACAGTGCAACAATATGTGAAAAAGAAATGCATTAAAAGGTAACTGAAAGCGGCCGAGCGGTAAAGACGTTGAACACTGGTAGTTCGGTCCGACGTTTGAACACCGCGAACGGGCTGGCTGCATGGGCGTTTTCGTGGTTTTCCCCATGTGTAACGTGTATACGAGCCAGTTTCCCTTAGAAAGTCCTCCACGAAGGCATCCCTCCCTTTAGGCAGATAGCCCTCGTGTGCTTTGCCATAATTGAATAATCCAATCCAATAATCCAAAAGAGAACTGAAAATCCCAGGATATGAATATAAGGGAGTTTGAATTTTTTTGTTAATTATTAAAATTCTGCTGACGCTCATAATTATTAAGTTATTAATTAAATGTGTATTAGAAATTAAATGTATGCCAAAGTACATCAGGTGGAAAACAGAATAAATATTTAAACGTTTCTAGTATTAAAATATGGAATTTGTAACAAAGTTAAATAACCTTAAAATAACTTCAATGACTAAAAATGGAAAGCTTAATACGGAAATATATTGCAATAATATTAGTGTGAATTTAGAATGACTTAAGAAGTCCAATTTTTAGATTTAATAAAATGAATTTTTTTAATTAAATTAGAACTGTTTACCTAAAATGGTAAATTTGAAAGTTAAAACCATTCTGCTATCTAAGAAGATTTGTTAATATTTATCTAGACAAGAAACTTATTTAAGGTGAGCTACAAATCCGATGTGTGATAGGTTGATTATGTATCAGTTTTGTGTATGTCAATAATCTATCAATTTTATTATTCAAAACTGATATATATATATATATATATATATATTATATATATCAGCGACTAAAATATACAACTTGGAAAGTTTTTAATTCTTACAGAGAATAAAAAAGATCTGGCTTATCATTCCTTTAAGCATCATAAAACTTTAAAATGAGTGTAAAAGAAATTTATTTTTACTTTAGCACACGCCAGACTTTAAATTAATATTTGTTTTGCATGCCTAATTTTTACAACATTGATAAACGGAAATAAAGGCTTGCAGTCTCAATAAAATGTCTCATTAATGGCGATAAATGACTTTTTGTAGCACCCAATCTTCTTGGGAAGAAATAGGGGACAGAGAACGTCGCGCAGTTCGAGGATTAGATAAGTTGGGGGACGGTGATCTTCGATCAAATTTGGCGCAGTTCGTACCCTACCGTCTAATTATCCTAAGATCTACTTACAAAAAAAATTAATAAAATTAATAAAAGCAGACATTCATATCCTCGTCAAAGCCAAATCCAAAGTCCCCGCATAAACGATTACAATGACAACCATTCTAATATCAGATAAGGAGTAATGTGGGGCATAGCAAGACAACTTACAAATTTTGTATTTGAATACAAATTATATCATTTAGTTAACTGTAAAGATAATCGTCAATGAACATGCATGAATGATACGCATTCTTTTTTCAGCACAAATTAACTTCAAAGGAATTGACATTTGCTGATGGTTACAGGTCATTAAATCAACAAAGAATGAGCATGAATGATTAGAATTTTCTCCTAAATGAAAATTAGCTTCAAAGGAATCAACATTAGCTGATGATTATATGTTACTAAAACGCATTTCTAATATAAGATCAAGGCTACCCTTGATCGACGGACAGAAGGTGCCCCTGTGCAAGGTTGTATTTCAATACCGTATAAAATATAATCATTTGTGAATTAAATTGAAATTAATTTCAAGAAGCTTCCATTTATTCAGGCTATTGAATACAAATCATCTAAGAAAGATTTTTTTTAATTATTACGAAACATAAAACATTTTTCACTAGTTTATATACCATGTCATTTATCACAATATTAGTATCCTAACTTTTACATGTCTTTGACATTGTTGATCTTAAATAATATTTTATTAATTTTTCCTTTGAAAACTTTCTTCCTTCGATAGCTACAGACGCGGACAAGGTGAATTAAATATGCGGTATTGTAGCAATATTTTAACTTATTTTCATATATATAATTTAAAACTCCTTGAAGAGATAAATCTTCTTTTACAAAAGTCTGCAGGATCTTTAATTATTCAAATAAAATCATAGCCTCCAGTACCTGACCGTTAGCGTCTTCACTGGCCTTCATTTTTAAGTATAAATCTTTCCAATTTTTTAATAAATCGTTACCATCCCTTTCTTTGAATTTTTTATGCTATGGATGAATTTAAAATTTTCGTTGAGTTAAATCAAATATACAAATCTTTCTAACTAATGATATGGTAGTGTCTAAAGCCCAGAAAACAAAATTTAAAATACTGCTTAACATCATTTATATATTGGTCTGATGTTTCACAGCCAGACGTTTCTTTTTATTGTTTCTCAAATTTTTGCAAAAACTGTATCGACTTTGTGATCGTTTAATATTTTCTCTGCAACTTTAAAATGTTGTTCAGTCCTTCTAATTTCCAAATCCTTCATAATAGCATATAGATTTTTCATAATAACATACACCCTGAATGATCGGTTTTGTATCATTTTGCTTACAACATTTACAGTGCTTAAGATAGTAATCGAACAGAGAAATTGAAATGAGCAAATATTTCAAATTAAATTATCAGTTTGAGCTGTGCAATCTATAACTTTAGAATCATCTTCCTGATTATATCAAAGACACGATAAATTTACTTGTTATTGCTTTTAAATTGCCTTACTGGCTTCAATTTTGCTTTCTTACCTAGTAGCAAATTTAAACTAAGAATATGTCCCTTTGTTTTAGCCCAG